TTACTATCACAAAAACTATGTTATTGTTTGATAATTGCATTGAAAATAATGTAATACAAAAATATGATTACTAAATTATATAAAATATTAATTAAAATTAGTTTAATCATAACAAATTAATACTTTTAATGAGATATTGTGTGAAAAAATGCTAGGAGACCACAACTCCAAATAAAACCTTGAATGCTCTGCATGATGCATCCATTGCTATTTTGGCTCTAGAAAAATATCAAAGTGGTTCTTGAATTTTTAATTTTATAGTAAAATAATCCCTAAACTTTGAAAATGAACAAAATAATCCTTAAACTTGAAATATTAGCACATTTTTAGTCCTCTCCTAACTTTTTTTTAACTGACATTAACTCATCCTTCATGATCCTAAAGTATGCAATTGGCCCCTTACCTTATTAAGTTTAAAGATTTTAACTCCTCACCTTATATTATGAAGGTTTTAGTCTTTAAATTTAAAGGTTTGATGATTTTAGCCCTTACACTAATGGAATCTGTTAACTCTTCATTAAAGTGAGAATAAAATATTTATGAAATCAATTCTTAAAAATTAAAAATATAACAATTTAGTTTGGAAAGTTTAAAAATTAAAAAAATTAGTAAACTAAAAAGAATTAATGGACGACTTTCTCACATGCACTAAAATAATATTAGATATCTATAATTAAATTGAGTGATTAATTCTGATTGAGATTAAAGAAATTTCTTAGTTGAATTAAGACAAAAAGTCCAAGAACCTAAAAGAATATAGCCAAGAAATTTTTTTTTTTTATCTCAATTAGATTTCTTTCTTCAAATTGAGCTAATTATTCAATTTAATTGTAGATATTTAATACTATTCTCATGAATTCGACAAAGTCATCCACTAATTATTTTTAATTTACTATTTTTAAAAAATTTTTTATATTTACAATTAAATTGTTACTTTTTTAATTTTTGAGAACTAATCATATAAATGTTTTATTCTTACTTTATCGGAGAGTTAACGGATTCCATTAGTTGAAGGGCTAAAATCTTCAATTCAAACCTTTAACTTCAAGGGTTAAAAACTTCATAATATAAAATAAAAAGACAAAAAGTTTCAAACTTAATAAGGTAAAGGGATAAATGCATACTTTAGCCTCCTTCATGAAGGTTAATGTGGCCCCTTAAATTAGTGATGAAACATTTTTTGGCTGATGTATAAGTACTTTTTGCTGAAATGGATAATTTTTGTTATCCCTATCATCCTTCACAAATGGGGCCATTCTTTCTAAAGTTTACTAGCCGTCCCTGTCCTGCTATGTAGGGGATTTTGTTCTAAATTTATACTCAGTAATTTGTTCATCTTTTATTCTCTAGAGGATTGAGTAATTGGAGCATTCTTGCTTAGGAAAAGAACTACACAAACGTCACTTCAACTTTGGAAAAGATTCGCACAATGTTGAAATTTAAAAGGATTATAGGATGAGGTTAATTGTAATTTTAAATTAAAAATTTAATAAGGTGAAGTTATAATTTCAAATAAATGACCTAATTTAAAAGTGTTTTTGTTATATAAGATTCAAATTAGATTTAAGTAGGATTTTTCAATTTTGTTTATCTTGTGGATAAAGTAATTATATTAATTTAAATTCATTCAATCTTCAACTTTTGACTAGCAATAAAAAGTAAATGGATAATCATCATTCTAATTTAAAAAAGAAAATATTCGTGATTTAAAATTAGATTTAAAAAAGAAAAGATTAAAATTTGTCGATATATAAAAGAGATATTTAGACACCAATAAAATTTCAGTCTCTTTTCAATATTTAGGCCTTAATGTTTTCGGGGCCTTAATGGTAAAAAAATTTAATAAGTAGTATCAAAGATAAGTTTAATTGATTTATTAATTTAAAATTTAGAAAGATAATGCAATGAGATTAATTGCAAATTTAAATTAAAAATTTAATAAGGTGAAATTTAAATTTTAAATAATTGATCTAAT